TGATGCCCAGAAATAAACTGCGGAGAAAGAAATAAGGGCAAATGGAGGTTCATGCTTCAAATTTAGCTCAGGCAGAGCTGCTTGTTTTTTGTGACTTTGGAGGGGTGAAGTATAGGCATTGAGTGGCTGCATAGTGACTGAAGTGACTTCATAATAACTGTTAAATATCAGTTAATTGAATAGTCAAGTAACCTCATGAATTCTTATCGGTTAGTCAACTATTCTATAGTTCCTGGGGGCGGAGCCGACAGTAACGCAAGGTGCCAGGCAGGACCTAGTTCCGTGACGGGAGACAGTTTAAAAACCAGATCCTCTTGTGGACCAGCTGCTTGTCATCCTGTGCTGCTGCCTCTGAAAAAGCCCCTGTCTGCGCGGGGGAAGCGGTCTGAGCTCAGGGGCAAGGCGCGAACTGGAACTGAACCAGGCTGCCTGCCTTCCCAGCTCCCAATACGCTTTAAATGCAGAGCCACAGAGGGGGTAGGTCCTGCACCCAGCATGAGCCAGAACTGAGCCGGGCTACTGGCCAACCTGCTAAAAAATGTACTGGTTTGGGGGGGGGGAAGGTGAAGGGGAAGGGGAGAATGCATATAGTCTATAGCATTAATCTATGAGATTTTTCTTATTGGTTAATCGACTACACTATTACATCCCTAATAGTGCAATCCCCACCCTGGAGCATTGACACTTCTGGGGTAACAAATGGTATCTTGCTCCCTATTCTATTAGCAAAGGCTTATGCTTTGCTGAAGATTTTAAACTGCCAAGAAAATGGAGATACTCCCGGCAATGGTTGGTTATTTGCACCATGAGCATAAAGTGGTTATACTGTATAAATGTTAGTCAAGCAAATTAAAGGAATCTGCTGTCGTCCAGTTCAATATCTAATGGACCCTAAAACTACTTGACAGAAAACGAACATCCAGAATTAAATCCAAGACTACATAACCCGAGTGGACACTGGTGACAGTTCTTAAGGTTTGAGAAAAGCCACCAAACAAAGCCAAAGGTTTGAAATTATGTTGTATTCATCACTATGCCAGTGCAGAGTACTCTGCAGGAATGGAGGAGCAGTGAAATGAGCCTGAAGCTACAAGCAGAAATATGCTTTCAGTACTTGGCAGGCAGCAAAGAAGCAGAAACCAGAGAATAACTGGGATGTAGGAATGCTGCAGCCATCACTCCTCTCCTCCCACATACCCGGCTGTCGTTAGCTTGTTGCCAAATGTACGTAGCATGCCTCCTCCCTGAGGAGGCCTTATGATGACTCTTCAGCCATTTTGCATTGGAATATGTGGAATAGTGTGGACACAGTACAGTGGTGAATTCCTTCCTTGCTCTTTACAAAAAAACAAAACAAAAAACAAACCACCAATGTGAGGAGTAAAACCTCTCTTTTTTGACACCACGGGTTGAGAATTAATCTGAATTTAGCAGCAAATCTTGCTCTAAGCTCAGCTGGTGTGGAGGGCCCCATGGCACTGAAAATAATATACTTGCAATGTAGCGTGGGGCAGGGTTTTGGAAGAAAGAGATCACAGGAGTATCTGTGGTAGGGCGTAGATAAGGGAAACAAACTACACGACAGGTATTAGTCATATCGCTTAATGCACTATCAGAAGGTGCTCAGTTTTAGGACTGGTTCTGTTCAATATCTTCATCAATGATTCAGATGATGGCATAAAGAGTATGCTTATAAAATTTGCAGATGATACCAAGCTGGGAGGAGCTGCAAGTGCTTTAGAGGATAGGGTCATAATTCAAAATGATCTGGACAAACCAGAGAAATAGTTTAAGGTAAATGGGATGAAGTTCAATAAGGACAAATGCAAAGTACTCCACTCAGGGAGCTAAAATCATTTTCACACATACAAGAACTGACTGTCTAAGAAGTTCTGCAGAAAGGCATCTAGAGGTCATAGTAGACCACAAGCTAAATGAGTCAACAGCATGACTCCATTGCAAAAAAAGCAAACATTCTGAGATGCATTATCAAGAGTGTTGTGAGCAAGATAAGAGAAGTAAATCTTCCACTCTATTATGGGCTGATTACGCCTCAGCGAGAGTATTGTGTCCACTTCTGAGTACCACATTTTAGGAAAGATGTGGAGAAATTGGAGAAGGTCCAGAGAAGGGCAACAAAAGTAATTAAAGGTCTAGAGAACATGACCTGTGAGAGAAGACTGAAAGAAATGGGTTTGTTTACTTTGAAAAAGAGAAGACTGAGGGCATGACTGCACTAGGAAATTATTTTTAAATAACTTATTTTGAAATAACTATTCCAAAATAGTGTGTCCGCACTACAAGGCAGCATCAATATAGTGCAGAATTATTTTGAAATAGTGCGTCCACACTGATTGGAGCCTGAATCGGACTTAAAGTCCCCAGAAGCATTCTGGGGAGTGCACCAGGAGGGCGGACGCTTCCTGTAGCTGCTTGCTGAAGCTAGCTGGGATATATGCTTAAAGAAGCTCCTCTCTATAGCCACGTCTCACACACCACTTTCCACTGCCTACCCCCTCGCGGGACACTAAACTTATGCTGTATGCTCTGGTTTTTCTTGTGAACACCACAGCACTTCCAATATGGAGCCAGAGCTTATTTCGAAATAACAAGCAGTGTCCACAGTACCAAGCCCATTATTTCAAAATAACGGACTGGTGATTTTGAAATAACTCCCGCTTTTATAAGGAATAATGCTTATTTTGAAATTGTTATTTCAAAATAACATTCATGTGGACACTCAGATGCTGCTATTTTGAAATAATTGGCCTCCAGGGGCCTCTCACAGCTACTCTTGTGGCCACTCTGGCCACACACCTGACAACTCTAATGCTCCCCTTCTCCTGCAGAGTTTAAAGCTGCAGGCAGAAAGAATAGAGCTTGTGGCACTAGGACAGCCTTGCTAGCCCCTTTGGAGCCATGGCCAACCTCAGCACTCCCTCTGCACCCCTTCATGCCTACCACCATTCCCAAGGAACCCTTTGATGCCCCTGGCCAGGTGGGTATTGCAGAAAGGGATCTAGGGTGGTGTGGGGGGCTGGATTCAGCCCACAGGCCATATTTTTGCCACCCCAGCTCAGTTAGAAATATTCTCCCCATATGGCAGCAAACTATTGATAAATATTCTCTGAGTATAATTTGTCAACCATTTGTGCACTCACTTTATAGTAAATTTATCTAAATCACACTTTCTGAGTTTTCTTATGAAAATATCAGGTGGGACTGTATGTAAAGCCTTACTAAAATCAAGTTATATCTATTCTTCCTTGCCAAGTAGAGACTCTACATTTGCCTGTGTCTCTCTCTCTCTTGCTTCTAAGGTATTTTAAAAACCCTGTCTTATTAACTCATTAATACATTTAGTTTTACAACACTATTAATACTCCAGTTTAAACAGATGAAGAAACTGCCACGTTAAAGCCATGCAATAAATTGAGGATTTTTTTTAAAAAAAAAATTCCCACTGGGAACTCACTGGCTCAGCTGATTAGCAGCAATGGGGGTAATTGAAAATACATTGCTAACCTCTCATCACACTTGCCACCATGCGATACACATAGGCCAACACCAGTGCCTGCTTTACGATGGGGGAGCTGAGGCCCCCAAAGGCAAACTGTTTGCACCTTTCCCCAGTGGAAACAAGCCCCAATGCCCTGCTCCAGAGGGGGCTCCCGACGCCCAGAGGCTTCTG